GGCTTCGGGCCCTGGTGGAGCCGGGGTCGCTTTCCTAGCCGCTGCTGTGGCAGAGCTGGGCGGGAGGCCAGCCCTCAGTTAATTGAAATAAAACCAGAGAGGGAATGTACAAACTGCTTGTTATTGCCCGGAGATGGGAACCCGTATGGCAGGGGTTTTATCGTAAAAGGTATGTTGCAAACTGTGTATGGCGTGGATGCGCTTAACTGCATCAGCATGCTCCTCCACCAAAATAAAATTTATGGCTTTATAAGAACTTGACAATTTTTATAATTAATAATGCTTCCTTGATTGCAGGACTTCATAGATTTGACATTGTCAAAGACTCAGCGGAAGACTCCAACCGTCATTCATAAACATTATCAAATCCATCGGATTCGACATTTTTACATGCGAAAAGTCAAATATACTCAACAAAATTACCATGATAGACTCACTCAGATCTTAACAGATTTCCCCAAATTAGATGTAAGTGTTTTGTCATTTGATCATAAAGGAACTTTGCTTTCATGGCATCAGGAATACTTCTTCAACAGCGTATTGGTTTTATTTGAGTTTATTTTGGCCTAAGCAACATCTTGCTGATTCACTGTGTAGACGATTTTGACTGATTCCCAGTAGATTTTACTGGGAGTAATTTTAAGCAAACTTGTTCTGCAAAAATAGTATGTTCCTACTAGAAGAGAAAGTCTAAGTTGTGCCCATGGATGGTCATTGAAGGGTGGGTTTTACAAGGTTTTAGCTAATGAAATATGTTTGCCAGAAATTGCTGTTGAACGAGGAGAAAGTGTGATGTTTTTTAAGTATGTTGTGTCTGCTTATTTCTTCTTTGTGTGTATGTAAATTGTGCTTATGGTTAGTATTCCCTTGAAAATATTTGCAGGAAGTAAGAAATACCCAAATATATCACATTGCTTCCCATCTTCGGTTCTTCAGAAGTTACTTGGATAAATGAACATTGTTCTTGGCCCCATGAAGGATAGTGTTGGAAACACACTCTGGCAAGACGCACATAGTCTTAACTTCTCAACAACTGCAACTGGATCCACATGTCCAGTGGGGCTTTTTTATAGGCAGTTTTCTGCTCATACTCAGTTGACCTGCAACTATATTTTTTGCTGTTGTTTTCATATCCAGTGAGTATTACTGCAGAGTTCCCACAAATGTCTTCTGTATTTTGTTTATCATGACATGATGAAATTTCTGCAAATGAGTAGATGAAATATTTTGTTTAAGAGATTTGAACCAAAGATGCTGCTTCCTTGGAAAGCTGAAGGATTTATTTGGGCATTGAAGAAACACTTCTTATCCAGTCTTACACAGAATTTAATCTAGCACTCAGAAAAAGGGAGGAATTGATATTGGTGCTGTGTTTCTGGTATAGTATAATTTGCTATTAGAAACTACTTCTGCAGGCTTCTTGCAGTTTCATTATTTAAAAAAAGCCTTCAAAGTTGTAATATGAAGTATTATACAAAGCAAAAGATGAAATGGAAACTCTGTATGAATGAGTCCAAGGTGTATTTGCAGAAGAAATTTGAAGTTATTAAGATTTATGCATTTAATGATCAAGCAGATTATTTTTCTTATGTAAGATAGTAATGAAAACAGTTCGGCTTGTATTATAATTTGTGTTGCAGTACTGGAGAAAAAAATGAACTTACATGGTTGCCAAGAAATAGTCATCTTAAAGAAGGAAAATATTAGGCTTAATTTTGTTTTATGCTTTTGTTTTAGGATATTCATCCTTTTTATGCAGATTTGATGAATGTTCTCTATGACAAAGATCACTACAAGCTGGCTTTGGGACAGATTAATATTGCAAAGAATCTGATTGACAAGTAAGGGACATTAATTTCTTCGATTTTGTACCTGCCTGGGTGATTGTTGGCTAAATTCTTATTTCTTGTCTCCACAGTGTTGCTAAAGACTATGTGCGGCTGATGAAGTATGGTGATTCTCTTTACCGCTGCAAACAGCTGAAACGTGCTGCTCTGGGACGAATGTGCACAATTATCAAAAGACAGAAACAAAGCTTGGAATATTTGGAGCAAGGTTTGTGTTATAAATAGGCTAAGATAAGGTGTGTGAATTGGATGTAAAATTTATTCTTACACTTAATAACAGTTAGAAGAATGTGTTTAATACAGAATATAGACACAGGAAACATAGAAATAGTTTAAAAATCCCCAAATACTTAGAATTTATTTCTTAACTAGTTTTCTCTTTGAAAATTCTTTAAATTTTCTGGTATTCCTAACAGTTGTGAAATCTTTTTCTTTGCTTGAAAGTCACAGCCATGCTTGTATTTATCGTTATTTTCTCTTACATATATTTGAAAAATAGTGCTAAACATTTTCCAAACATTACTCCTTACTTGAGGCTTATTATTCCTTCAGGTTATGTTGGCTGATTTGATGGTGTCATTCTAGCTAAAAGACAGTGGTCTTCATTTTTTAAATATTTATCAAGTTTCTTTTTTTGTTGTATGTAGATACTTGTGGAGTTTACAAACTATTATATGTTTTCATAAATGATCAATCAATTTATAATGTCAGAAAAGTTATTAATTTGTATATAGACAATTCAGCATATGAATTTTTATTCCATTTCATAAAACTTAAATTATCGCAAATACTTTAAAAATCTTTTTAACATTTCAGTGCGCCAACATTTGTCTCGTTTGCCAACCATTGATCCCAATACACGAACTCTTCTCTTGTGTGGCTACCCGAATGTTGGAAAATCTAGCTTTATAAATAAGGTATGTGAATGTTTTTTCCAAAAATAATACTGAGATACCATTTAATTAAAATAAGGTAACATTCAAACAATTTGATATCATTATGGCACTGCCTGATGTGAGCGGTAGCAAATTCAAATGTGTGAGTAGAGGTTGAATGAAATTCCTGGAGAGATACATGGAAAATTATGATATATTTCACTCTTCAAAGTCATTGTCTTTTCCAAAACAGCATGTATCCCATTAACATTTTCTGATAGATAAATTCTTCAGAGAAGCCAGGATAACCTTTTTTAGCTTTTTTTGTAGCAAAGGAATTGTATTATAATTATGATGTACTGCTTGTAACTTCAGGAAATTTTCAGTAAATGTGTGTGAATAAATCTTGTTTTAAGGTTACAAGAGCAGATGTAGAAGTGCAGCCTTATGCCTTTACCACAAAATCTCTCTTCGTGGGACATACGGATTATAAGTATCTGCGTTGGCAGGTATGAACTGTTACTATTTTGCATTTTCTTTAAAGAATTTACTGGTTATAATCGGTTTGCCATTTTGCAATGTGAGTTGCATTTTTGTGCAAAATCTTTTCTAAAAATGTACATGTGTGGGTGTGTTTTCAACTTGAGGTCTTGATGAGACATGCTATGTCTGAGAGGTGCTGTGCAAGGTACAGTGTGCCAAATGAGGCCAGTAGTCAAAATCTTTTCTAAAAATATACATGTGTGGGTGTGTTTTCAACTTGAGGGAAGAATGGAAATGGAATTACTGACTAAACCTAGCTCGCTTTTTATCCCTGTCAAATTCTGGGCCAGGTTGGAGCAGGGCTTTCCCTAATCAGTGTGTTGGTTGTTCTGAAACCTCATTCTTCTCCCATTACTCCATTTTCACATTCTCAATTTGGCTGAGTTTACAGTCTTATTTATGACTGAAAGGAAAGAGTATTGCTGTCTTAAAAAAGGTGATACTGACCAGAAATCAAGCACATGTTCTGAAATAGCGTATCAATTATCCTGTACTAAGGCCTGACGTAATTATGTTAATTTTAGGTAGTAGATACTCCTGGTATTTTGGATCATCCTTTGGAGGATAGGAACACTATCGAGATGCAGGCTATAACTGCACTTGCACATCTCCGTGCTGCTGTGCTTTATGTGATGGATGTGTCTGAGCAGTGTGGGCATAGCCTGGAGGAACAAGTTGAGCTCTTCAGAAATATTAAGCCGTTGTTTGCTAACAAGGTACGTTTGGTTTACATTATTGACAAAACCCAGGGTTTTGTAACATGACAACTTGAATTATGATTCTTTTTTTCTTTTTATTAGCCACTTATAATTGTTGCAAACAAATGTGATGTGAAGAGGATTGCAGAGCTTCCTGAAGAGAGTCAGGTTAGACTACTTCTCCCACCTCTCTCTCTTTCTTCCGACATTTACAAAAATACTATGCGCGAGTGTCGTGGACAGACATAATTTATATTGGGCAAAAACTTCTACATGATCATTTCTTAATCTAACTGTTTAATAATGTAATGGAAAGTGGCTTTCCAGGTCTTGACCCATATCTCTTTTAAGTACTGTGTAATGTATATACTTGCCTGAATATCATAAATGCCAAACAGAAAGCAAGTCCTTAGTGGTTTCAGAAATCTCTCATGCTGTGAGAACTTTCAATTACTACTGTAGTTGGAAGTAAGACTGAATAGCCTTGTTCAATCATTTCCATTTCAGTAAGAGTTTAGAGACAATGAGCACTAGACTGAACAGTTACAGTAAAAGGTCCCACTGGGCAACACGTTGTGTATATGCAGGGCTAGTTCTTTTGTATCTACAAGTTCAAGGACACAGAGAATTTGTTTCTCTCTTGCTCTTTTTTTCTTTTTTTTTTCCCTTATAGGTCATTTATAGGTGCCTTTTAGAAAGTGGTTATTTGCTTATAAAAGAAGAAACAGATTAAATGGAAAGTTTCTGTCATCTTTTTAGAAACATTCTAATAAAATAGTAACAAGTTGCATGTATTGATATCGGATTAAAATTTCTGTTGTTAATGTATTGGCCTATTAAGAAATGGGCAGAATGTCATTCTTTGGGATAATGTTTCTGTTTTAGAAAATATTTGAAACTTTTGAAGCAGAAGGATTTTCTGTAATAGAGACAAGTACTCTAACAGAAGAAGGTGTAATCCAGGTTAAAACAGAGGTAAGTCTCTTTTCTCTCAATTTCATTCCAAATGAACAGCTAACATTTTGCCACATCTGTATGAATTTAATCTCAGTTAAACTGTACATTATAGTGATAAACCTTAAGCATAGAATCATAGAATCATTAGGTTGGAAAAGACCTTTAAGATCACCAAGTCCAACCATAAACCTAACACTGCCAAGACCCACTGAGCCATGTCCCAAAGTTCCACATGTACACGTCTTTTAAATACCTCCGGGGGTG